ATTTATGGTGTTTATTTTTCTTTATATCTTGATTAGCCGTTACTACCTAATTACTATTGGAGGGCAGTGACCATAATTCTGTTTTTATAGTGGTGACACAATCCAACGATAAAAACCGTTAGAAACATAAACATTAATAATAATGGTGAAACACGGTGGGTCAACCATATTGACCGAATAAAATCACATCGAGGAAGGCCACTATAGAAATCAGGATGAATATTATTTCCTGATATTTTTACGAGTGATCAATACTACAATAATGCTGTCAATTAATCGTGTGAAAACAGAACTGAAAACCGCAATGTGCGCGGGCGTAATGAATACGTTTTTTGCTCCCTTGTAAATTTTGGCTCTACGGATCGGGCGGATAATTCACTTTCTTTTAATTTAAATAAGTAGGTTAAAATAACGGTGTCAGCAGGTTGCAAGAGTAGATTGCTTGTTACTTGGAGGCGAGGGTATTAGCGGTAATGCACTAGGAGCGAACAATTTAAGAAAATGTCCTCATCACCGGTACTTACTAGTAATAGTAATTAGTAAGTAGTTTAGTATTTTGTGCCTTAACCTAATTATGACTAGTGTGGCGTAGTTTTTGAGGCTATAGCTTGATTATGGCTGGTGTGGCGTGAATATACTAATCGGTCAAAACAAAAGCTTCCATCTTGTGTGAATGAATGCCTAAGCCCTAAGGTGTATTTTATGTCTTATTGAGGGTTTTTTTTAAATAATTGGATATTCTCCTCCGCGTTTTTGCCGCTAGATGCAAGAAAAGGCACTTGTGCCTCTTGTCGCTTGAGAATGCATCAGTGCTCGTATCGTGGCCAAATATGAAACTTATTTCTTAGACTCTTTGTGAGGTACATATTCAAATATGTTCGATGTTACGGCAAGTTCCGCTAGGTCTAGCATTCTATTGCAACATTTCCAATCGCCGGGTTCAGTTCATAACGTGAATTATTATTGATTGAGTACTCTATCCTTCGCTACTATGTGCAGAACATCAGGCTCTGATAGACACCGTTGGCGATCTGCTTGGCCTTACTGCCGATGCTACATGCTCGAGGTATAGAGATTGCTTTTAACGATATTTTTTTCTGGCTCAAATGATTTACTACCCTCATGAATGGAGCCTTGTAATCCCATCATTCCGTATGCTTCTATTATATACTTTTATCTAATATATAATTGCAACAATAATTCAAGTGAAAAGTAGCACGATTAAAGATAACCCATTCCTTATGAGAATTAAAAGTTACTATACTTAGGTCAATATTGCGTGCCAATTTTAATGAATTTGTATCATAACAAGACGTGTGTTATAGATGAATTGCGCATTGTAGGGTCTAGATGACAGGAAAGATCGTGTATTAATTACTGTAAATGGGTATTTCTTTAAAAATAAATAATAAGGCATTTAAATAAATAATAAGGCATTTAAATAAATAATAAGGCATTTAAATAAATAATAAGACATTTAATTACGGAAAGAACCCACAACACTCTTGATTGTGTTGTGGATTCTTGATTACTAGATCTGGGGCATTCATATCGTTATCACTATGCGATTATTTATCTATGAGATACCATCTTAGTTTCTACTTTCTGATCCCTCGGACCGTGGAAAGGATCAGTGATACAGGTCAACAGGAAGCGATGCCGTTATCTTGATGAGTCGTAAGCCAGCATCAGGCGTTGACGTGTTGCTGATGTCCACTGTATCGTGTAAATATATTTTCTAGTACAAAAACTGCAGTTTTTAGAAAAAAACGAGACCACGACAACGAATCTAGTGTAAAATTTGCTTAAAAGTTCATGAATGTTGCTGAATTAATTGATGCGTAAGAAGTTTCGATCGTGACGAATTTTACTAATCGTCGATCGATAGTGTACACAGCGAAATTATAGGAGCGTGGTGTCGACGACAGAGGAAGTGGAGACATGTTTGGACATCAGTTTCGGTATTTTGAGCAGTTCTTAGAAATTTCGGCTGTATATAAAAGAGGATCAAAATTGTATGAAAAATATTATTTGGTTACAAAAGTAAGTCCTTTCGATAGTAAAAAAAAAACGGAAGCGAAGTGAAAACTTGCGCGCCATGAGTCTTGCTCCCGTAACACAGTGCAGGGAACTCTCGCTTCCTGAATGCGAGTGAAAGCGACCCCAACCAGAATTCCCAGATGCTCACTATGTTGCGTCATTTGTGCAGACTCATTGTCCTGATTGAAATTCACTATGAGCTGGCAATTTCTTTGCATGTTGCTGTGACAGTCATTATAATGCTGTAATATGCGAGAGAAGACCGTTATATTTCTTATGTTGCACCATTTTCTGACCGAAACAATCTGACGCGTTGTTTCGCATCATTTTTAGCGCATTTTCTCATTTATGAAAAAAATGCACTATTGTGCGTGCTCGCCATGTCCGTCTGTCTGTCCGTCTGTCCGTCCGTCCGTCTGTCCGTCCGTGACTTCACGTTTTCGTAGACGAGAAAATGCGCTCTCTGTCACTCACTGCAGTGAGTACTGAGTTATATTTTTTCGGCTTTCGCTTGTGAACATAGAAAATGGTCGCGGAGCGGACTTGAGTTTGTCCTTTCAGGCATCAATAGATGGGAATAAAGCCATCGTGGATTGATTGAATTGATTCCCGACGTCCTGAAAAACATTTTTCTTTGTTCGTATAAGAGATGTGTGTAGAAATTTGCTTATTCTAACAGCATTCATGTAGGACGATTTGCTGTTTGCTTATGAAATTCATAGATTAATACAGCATATAATTCATCAGCCATTAGTTTCGTTGGGTCTGACATTTTGGAAATTTGTTTTTGAGATAACCTACAAGAATATATAGTTTCCCAAATTGAAGTTGTCTTTCCAAAATTAACAGACAATATAATTTCAAGAATATTTCGTTAGCTTGAAATTAAAAGGACAGTTAAGCTACTCTGTCATGTTATTGTTAACGTTTTTAGAAATTATTGGTAATATTATTATTATTTTATGAAGCATTTATCGTGGCGTCTGCTTCAGACGAACTTCGCGGGCACGTCACATAAGATTATTAGTAAGCCAAAAATAAATTGACACGAGAAAGGGTGGGAACGGATGAAATGACTAAGCACTAGATTCACAGGCTCTACGAAATAGTTCCGTGTTTAGGCGTCGCCGCAACACCTGCAACGAAGGAGCCGAAGTTAGGGTACGTACACAGTGAAAGCAGGTTGCCAGCGTGCGGGTTACCTGCTGAGGCTGGCGCCTGAAACAAGCGCGAGAGGTTCACAGAGGAAGCAGGTTGCCAGCGTGCTGGTTACCTGCTGAGGCTGGCGCCTGAAACAAGCGCGAGAGGTTCACAGAGGAAGCAGGAAACCAGCTGCGACCTAATTAGTGCTCTGGGTGAGCAAGTGTATTATTAGTGTATTTTATTATTGTACTTTATTAGTGAACTTAATTGGTGTACTTTATAAGTGTATTTTATCAGTATATTTTATTAGTGTATTATACTAGTGTATTTTGTTGGTTTATTTTATTAGTGTACTTTATTAGCGTATTTTATTGGTGTATTTTTATTAGTGTATTTATTAGTGTATCCATGTTTTCACAATAGGCTCATCTGAGGTACGAAATAATTCATAAGAAAAAAAGAAAATGGAGGGTTTAACGGTACAACTAATTCAAAAATGACCATATGCCAAGCAGGTTGAGCAGATAAGAATGTGCAGTACATTCCGGTAAATAGGTATAAGCAGGTTGTCGGCAGAAGCCTATTTGTACAGGTTTTCACTGTGAACACTTACATTATTATCCTATGTTCATTCTTGTGGCAGGTTGGAGCAGGTTGCCCGCGCGGGCAAACCTGCTTTCACTGTGTACGTACCCTAACAGAAGCCGGCAGACTGTTGCAGGTTCTGGCGGCGGCGACCGGGAGATCTCTGTCGCTGACGGTAGATATAGACGTGTAGATGCATGGTTGAACCATGTTCAACCATGTGTAAATGGAATGACGAAATCCACTGTTGATGACGAACGCAGTCGTCTTTTAAAATGTTTAATTGAATGTACCGAAATATGTTGCATTAGGCATGGGTTGCGGCGCTAACTATAACTTTTGACTCACCACAGATTTGCATGACTATAGTAAATGAGTAAGATGCTTTCATTTCACTTTAATATCAGGGACCCCTCGAAATGCCCACGTTATCTCGCCGCATTTTAAGTATGTATCGATGCTATGACTCAGCGAGATATTACAGACTACTATTGTTTGATTTATTCCAAACTATCATCATCTAATACACAATATTAAAACGGCGACCGTGTAATCAAGAGTCACGTAGGGTTTCTAGTAAACATTAATTGGACTTAATAAGTTCACTATTCCCCCCCCCCTCCCCCTCCATCAACTACACACAATTAATTATGCATTATAGTTGAGGATGATCTTGCGTGCAATGACGGTTGGATATCGAGTGAACGTACGATCAGATCAACATTGTATTGTATTGTATCAGATCAAACATTATATTCCCTCGGCTGATATGGCCTGAGTCGTTATATATAGTTTCATGGTGCGAGCCTTGCTTGGAGCTCAAACTTATTTCAGTGCGTTGTGCTTACGAAAGCGGGATATTCCAGTGTATGTTATATACGTATTTGAGAATTTTGTTGTGTGTAATAAACTTTTCACCATTCATGAGGTTAGGATATTTGAAAACTTTTATTGTTCCTGATGGCACCTCTGCGATCTTTGAGTAAATGGTACCTATGTTGTACTTAGATGTTTAAACATAATTGTTCTCCGCTTTCTTCGTTATATTAGAGGAGTATGAAATTGTGTTCGATATTTCAAGCGTATCGTATATGAAATTTCAATTGCTGCTCTACTTGTTGCGATGCATTCATTAACGAAATCTACTCAACAAGATTTAGATTTTTGTACCGGGAAGATGCGCCAAAATACAAATAATACTAGCAAAAATCATAACGGCTTGACTAAACTGAAAACTGCAGCAAATACTTTACTGGAGAAGGTCTGAAAACGAAGTCTATATAAATTTAATTAATTTAAGTTAAATGACGTGGTACATTCGAGGCTGTCAAACGTACAGAATATACTTAGTACTAGTTAGGGTAAATTAAGGGCGTACCTTTCTTCATGAAATCATGTCGTTTCTTAATCGCATTTTAAACTGCAGAAATGTTGTTTTCTCTCATAGGGAAGATAATGTATGCTTTTATATTGAAAAATATTTTCTATTCAGAAGAAGATTCTTCCTCGTCTAACATAGAAAAACAATAAAAAAAGTTCAAACAGTTCGTCAAGATGGCGACTCGGAACACGGGCATGGGTCTGTGCCGCAGGGTAACTATATTCTTAATAGGCCTGTTCGAGTGCTGCGTTTTTGGAGGCCTAGTGTTCGGGTGGCCACAGCTCGTGCTGATACTCAAGGAGGAAGGAATCTACTCGAGCCTCTGCAATGTGAGCGAGACCAACTACACGACCCAAGTGGACCAGGGATATGAACCGGTGTTAGGTTAGTGACGGGATNACAGTTCCACTTGAGAATGGAATTGAATTTTGATAATAAATCTATATAGCAACAATTATAGTGACTAGTAAATTGACTAGTGACCAGTGACTAGTTCCTTAAGAGAGGATTCTCATCAAGCCAGGTGATGATCTGTCTCTTATACACATCTAGATGTGTATAAGAGACAGAAGCAAACAGAGATCAGTAGCTGCCGAAAAATTATTTTCTACTTTTGAGTCCACATGAAAAACGTGGTCTTTAAAATTTTTTTTATACATTTTATTTTTTACTTATTTTACTTTCTTTGTATTGCGATAAATTGAGCTGATGGATAAACACGCTGGCATGGCGATTTCATTCGAGTTCAGCACGAACGCGAAAAATTGTGTTGTTGCTTTATTAGTATTATGGAAGAGTAGTACTCAGTTTTTAATTTTTACACAAAATATTTAATTCAATTTCTTTCAAGTTTCCTTCGCTGAGCCCACATTACTTGCTTTGCGTCTCTAATGAACCGATGTGACATTCCTACCTCATGTTTTGTGAGTTCACTTTACTTGGTTATAATAATAATAATAATAGCGGTTTTAGCGTTTATTAGGCCGTAGGCCTGTCGCCGATTCTCAACATCGCAGAACATTCACAGCATTTTGCGGTCTCGAACTCGCAACTCACTGCTACAATACTGCTGTGCTTAACCGCCCAGCCTCCTTGCCGATGAACAATTAACCGACGTTACATTGCTACCTCGTTACTTCAAGGAATCCCGTTACAGACGCCAGCACGGAGCCGGTGGAGTGCCACGGGCTGGTGGAAGGGTGCGATGCAGGTCAGGAGGAGCGATGGAGGCAGTGGAAGGAGGAAAAGTGCGCCGCGGTCTGGGGCAGTGAGGCACAAAACGCGAACGACTCAGTACGTTGAACTATGTCAGACGCTTGAGTTTCTTTGCATTGCCGGACCATCGTTGCGGGTGTCGTCCGTGATGTGCCTATTATCTTTAGTTTTATCTCGTATCAATTTTATCCTTATTTTTTTCAGTTCTATCACGTACTCTTTAGTTCAATGTCAATCGAGAGTTGTATGGTGGTTTACTTTATACGGTTCGCACCAGCTGTCTAATGACCACATGTCGTCACCAGCTGCATGACGACATTGAACCCTCAGCCGTTTCTCTTTTCTTTCAAATTCTGTAAATCTTACATTATTCCCTTCTTAAAGCAGCTCTTAGGTCCTCGGTATTATCGCGCAATATCTTTAGTTTCACAATAAAATAATGCATGTAGGGGGGTGATATATTATATACAGAGGTGGGCAGTAGGGCGCTACATTTAAGCAATTGTAGCGGTAGCGCCCGCTACATTTAAGCAATTGTAGCTGTAGCGCTCGCTACATTTAGAGCATGTAGCGGTAGCGGCGCTACATTTAAGCAATTGAAGCGGTAGCGGCCGCTACATTTTAAAGTAGCGCTGCCCAGCTCTGATTATATTGTGATCTATGGCATTTACATGGCACAGGAGGCGCCCCCTACGAAGGGCTGCAAGGCCCAGGACGAGCAGTTCGCGCTGGTCTTCACCGTGGGCGTGGTGATGTACTCCCTGCCTAGTGTCGTTGTGGGGTACCTGCTCTACTATGCCGGCTTGTGGGTCACCCGCATCATTGTCAGGTGATGATGGCTGCCTTGTCAGGTGATGATGGCTGCCTTGCCAGGTGATGATGGCTGCCTTGTCAGGTGATGATGGCTGCCTGCCAGGTGATGATGGTTGCCTTGTCAGGTGATGATGGCTGCCTCCATTAACAAGCTTACTATTAATTATTCAATTTAATGATCATGACCTGAACTGGTATGTAACGTTTAGCTATTATATTTAGAAAGATAATTTCTGCTTAACTTTTGTAATTTAATACGCGCGGTGCGCTTAAATATGTATATTCAATATATGCGCAACGCCAGCTCTACGGTTAAATAGATTTGTTAAGCTTACTATTAATTTAAGTTTTATTATGTTAAACGTTACGTTTAACTGGTATGTATAGGTTAATTCGTATTTCATGTTTGCGATTCTTTTACATGATTTGTTATTAGCTGCACGCGAAGCTTGTTGTAATGGTGGCAGCAAGCAGCTGTAATATATTACATTATTATTATTTTATATCATTATTATTATTATTAATATCATTAATATTATTATTATTATTATTATAATTATTATTACTATTATTATTATTATTATCATTATTATTATTATTATTATTATTACTATTTTATTATTATTATTATTGTTATTTATTATTGTTATTATTATTATTATTATTATTATTATTATTATTATTATTATTATTATTATTATTATTACTATTTACATTATTATTATTATTATTATTCATTTTGTTCTAATGAGGTATAATTTTTCTCCCGCAGTTCGATGCTGGTGGCCAGCTTCTGCCTGCTGGCTATGCTGAGTACCGGTGAGTGATGACCGAGTACACATGCCTGTGAGGGTGCGTTCCCTAACAAAATTTGGGTACCTCCTAGGCTTCTGCCCAGGGTTCCCTACACTCGTTTTCCTAACTACCAAATAGTGTTTTTTAGATCGAAAAAATTTTTATTTTACCGTCGTTTGCGAGATTTTTTTCATTTTACCGTCATTCTTGATTTCACACTTCCTTATTCGCTTTCGTTCGCAAGTTATACAGATATAGGAGAAACGATTGACTTTTCTACCGGCTGGTTTGACCAAGAGTCGTTTACGTATAGCCGTATAACTCACAAACAAAGGCAAAACGAAAACTTTGTAACGAGCTCAACATCACCGATGCTGAGGTTAGGTATTAAAATACTAAATTTCGTTCAAATCTGGTCAGTAGTTTGCAAGAAATTTCTTGATTACTGCGAATTTAAGCACGTAATGCTGTTTAAATCACGAATGAAAGCACAATCGAAAAAATTTTCACGAGCTACACATCACCGTTCGTAAGTTAGGACTGTAAATTCAAAATTTCGTCCGTATCTGTTCAGTAATTTGGAAGAAATTCCTTGCTCACTGTGAATTCGGCCCATACGTATTGCCATATAAGTATGGCAAAAACAATTGAAGGCAAAATTCAAAAAATTTTCACGAGCATTTACATTACCGTTAGGTCCTAATGATACGTGTACCAAGTTTCATCCAGTTAAGTTCATTAGTTTGAGAGATATTCCTTGATCATTGAATTTGGAAATTGGCCGTGAGACCGGCAGCGAGTCCGGCCGTTAATTTGTCGTAGACGTAAACCCAGGAGAGGTTAAAAAAATATAACTCAGGACTCACTGCAGTGAGTGACAGAGAGCGCATTTTGTCGTCGACGAAAACGTGAAATCACGGACTGACAGACAGACGGACGGACATGGCAAGCACAATAGTGCATTTTTCATAAATGAGTAAATGCGCTAAAAACAGATCTGGGTGAAAAAACCATCGCTGAGAGTCATGATGTGCTGCACGTGTTCTGTACAAATCGTCAAACAAACGTTCGAACTTCTGACTTCGACTTCGGACTGCCGCCCCCCTATCGCCCCCCAAACGCCCTCTTCTTCTTTACCGCCCCCCAAAATCTTTCCATCGCCCCTAGCGGGGCGATATCACCCACTTTGGGAACCACTGTACTATAGGCTTCTGCCCAGGGTTCGCTACATTCGTCTTAAAGTTATTCTGGAACTGCTTGGTTGCCTGATCGAAATTAAAGTTATTAAATTGAAGTTATTAAGGATCTGATTGGCTGCCTGATCGAAATTAAAGTTATTAAATTAAAGTTATTCTGGATCTGATTGGCTGCCTGATCGAAATTAAAGTTACTAAATTAAAGTTATTCTGGATCTCATTAGCTGCTCGATTGAAATCAACTTGCAATCTGCTTAGAGTCTGGCTTTCTTACCAAGAATCGAGGCGGACATGGGCTGATTTATGTGCTGACCGAATCCTAGGCTTCACCTATTGCAGTGTCGGGTTCGCATCTAAATTTTGTTAGGGTTGCCATTCATAGCAGTAGAGGATAAACGCAAGAACTACTGATGTGCATTTTACTGATATAGTGATGTTGTGGCATGATGGGTGACGTGCCTTACCATCAACCGATTCTACTGATGGAAAGGATAGTGACAAAGAGACAAAGAATACTGCAGTGATGGCTGATGCTCTAAAAATTTTATTCCAAGTGATGGGTGAAAAAATGAAATGATTAGTGTGCTAAATAAAATAATTGACTCGTGGGTGATGTGACAGAGCGGGAGTCTCTGCTGATGCCTGCTCTGGTGCTGCTGGCGATGGGTGGCAATCAGTTGCGGTTGTGCGCTGTTCAGTTCGGGGACCTCTTCCCCCAGCGGCGGGCCACGGCCCTCAACCTCCTCATGGGGTCCTACAGCATCTCCTCGTCTGTCTTCTTCCTCTTCAAGGTGCTGCGCCAGTAGTATTATTATATTAATTGGTATCAAATAGTATTATTATATTAATTGGTATCAAATAGTATTATTATATTAATTAGTATCGATGCTGCTCTAATGTTAAAAATTGACTCGTGTAAACATAGTAATTAATAGATGAAGGTTCCTAGAATATTCTAAATGGATTTAGATATTTTATTGATTTATGAACAGTGTTGTGAACGTTGCAAATTATTATGGTAACCGTGTAACGTAAGATTTACGTAAAACTCACAGTGTACGCAGAACAGAAGATATAATATACGATCTACGCTGAACTTACGATTATAGTGTAACTTGCGAACAACGTCGTGCGTACGGTGAATGTATTTCATACGATCTACAGTATGTAACGATCGTCCTTCACTATTACACTCGTGTATGAAACGCAAGTTCCTGCATATTTTTTGGGATCTTCATCGCGACCTCAGGAGCAAATTTGAATCCAATGTATATTATATGCTCTGAAAATTGAACCGTCTTGCTAAGATATTGGACCACTTATTAAGATATAATAATATACGGTCAGGGCAGAAGATACGAGTTTCTTATCTAATTATCTTCGGAGCGCTGAATCGCAATTTCTATTGAATTAATTTTTGCTATCACTTAAAAATGGAATTTTTGTTCAAGCGCTCAATTCTTTATGTAAAACTATTTTAGTAGTGTATTGGCTGTTGATTGCAAGTTATCTCAAATGTATTTAAATTCTTTTAATTTCTATCGTCGTTCCGTCGTCTGGTTATGATGGCAATGTCATTTCTGCATTTAATCATTCAAATTATATTTCTTCAATTTAATTCATAATTTAAATTCAAGATTTATCACGGTACTACTTCGAAACCTTCCTGCAACACCATTAATCGCAACATGATTAGTCGCTACACCATTAATGGTAACACTATCATCAATATTAATGGAAACACCCTTAAAACCATTATTGTTAACACCATTAATGGTAACACTATTAACACCATTAACGGTAACACCATTAACACCATTAACGGTAACACCATTAACACCATTAACGGTAACACCATTAACACCATTAACGGTAACACCATTAACGGTAACACCATTAACGGTAACACCATTAACACCATTAACGGTAACGCCATTAACACCATTAACGGTAACACCATTAACGGTAACGCCATTAACACCATTAACGGTAACACCATTAACACCATTAACGGTAACACCATTAACATATTTGTATTTGATTGAATTTTCGTTCATTTGTATTTACATTCATTTTATTTTAATAAATTTGTATTTAAATCAAGCTGAACATGATTATTCAGCTTGAACACAACGCCCCTGGCTACTGCATATTATTTTTTTTTTCACGCGAATCTGAAACGCCATTATTCCAATGCAACATTTCATAGTTGTATATTCAAAGTAACATTCGGATAATTTTCAATCCGACGAATTTTATTTTATACAAACTGACCAAAGTTAAGCCTGGGATTTTTACTGTAATTACTGTAATCGTTTACTATAATTGTTTAGGGATTTAAACTCTACTGTCTTCTGAGCAGAGATTTAAACACTTTAAAACCTGTAGAATAACAGTGGTAGTAAACCATGCAGTAGGTTAACCAGGGCCTATACTTTTGAAGAAAGTTAAGAGATCGTAAGTTCATCAGCCAATCATTGAAGGCCATTGGAGCAAAATCCACCAATCATAGACAAGAAAATAGAGCGTAAGTACTTACGTTCACTTAGCCAGTTTTGAAAGTATATGCCCCAGATAATTAGGTTGGGTCTGAAAATAGTATCAAGATATCTAATATAAAGACGCATTATACGTTCTTCGCTAATCACTATAGTTCATAGTCTACGTGTAGGTACATTAAATCACGAGAATTTTTTACTGTTTATCATTTTAGGTGCGGTAATTTTATTTACATGTAAAATATTGTCATATCTATAAGACATGTGCCTTAGTTCTCGATCGACCCTTACAGAGATCCTTATTGTTTGGCCCTTACAGAGATCCTTATTGTTTGGCCCTTACAGAGATCCTTAAAGTTCGACCCTCACAGAGATGCTTATTGTTCAACCCTTACATATATCCTTATTGTTGTGATTCGGAGTCTCGGAGTTATATTCATGCATAAATTGATTTCATCCAGCATATAAAAGATAACAATGAATGGAAAATGATGTGTACGTATTGATGATACGGATTTGTTTTCTGCAACTTGCGGTAATGGTGTTCCTTCACGGAACGGGCTTCCTTAACAATATTGCAACTTGACGACCTAATTCTTATCTTCTCTGGTCTTGCAACTTGACGTCCTAATTCTTATCTCTGGTCTTACAACTTGACGACCTAATTCTTATCTTTGGTCTTACAACTTGACGGCCTAATTCTTATCTTCTCCGGTCTTGCAAATTGACGACCTTATTCTTATCTTCTCCGGTCTTACAACTTGACGACCTAATTCTTATCTTCTCCGGTCTTGCAACTTTTTTTCCGGTCCACAGACACGAGCAGACGAGACACACAGCTGAGCCTTAAAGCCTCTTCGTCCGGCTCAGAATCTGCGGCGGTGAAGGTCCCGCTGAGCCTGAGCCTCTGCTCGCTGTCGTGTTTCCTGCACACCTACTGGCTCTTCATGGCTCTCTTTGCCATGAACAGCTACCAGCAGACCTTCAACTTTTGGATCACCAGTGAGAAACGAGGCGGCCTTTCCTTGATTTCCTGTCGTTTTTGAAATTTGAAAAAATTTTGAATTCGTGTAGCTGCCATAGCCATCTTTTGAATTTGAGGCGAGAATCTTTGAGAGGATAAGCCATTTCATGCGTGTATCTGTTATTGCAATTGATTCAATTCTTGCTTGATGATTTGCAACGTCAGTTGCTTCATTCAGACGAGATTGATCATCAGGATGAATTGTTGAGTCAAATTTCTGAATGTTTTTCCCTCAGCGACGTCGTGCAAGTGGTCGGAAATCTATAATAGCAATTGATTCAATTCTCGCTAGATGATTTGCTACGTCAGTTGCTACAGTCAGACGAGATTGAACATTATTATGAATTGTAGAGTGAAAGTTTTGAATGTCTTCCCCTCAGCGACGTCGTGCAAGTGGTCGGACGTACAGCACTACACGGCACTGTTCAGCTTCTGCGGTCTGCTGGGCGCGGCGGTCGCCCCGGTGCTCGGCCACCTCACCGACAGCATCCTGGGGCGCGCCAAGCGTCACGCTCCTGATGCATTCGCCCTCCGAGTGCAAGAAGTCTGCGCGAACTTCACTCCACTCCTCATAACCACGATCTTCTTGATCTTACTGTACGCGTGCCTCCTATTCTTCAAGAGCTGGGCCATATATCTGTCCCTTGTGTGCTTGGTGTTCTGCAGGTCGTGCCTCTTCTCGACCAGCACGGCGTTCCTCCGAGCCCGGTTCCCCGTTGAACATTTGGATCGCATTATGGGCATTTGCAACACGGTCGTCGCGGTCCTCTCCTTACTGGTGTACCCACACTTCATGTGGCAGATGAACCATTATTACACAGCCATTGTTGTGGCGCTGTGTTTCATAACACTTATCATTAGCTACCCGATGCACTTATTGTTTAAGAAGAGCATAAGAAGAGCGCTGCTGGAGCTACCGCAGCCTAAAGGAATAGACACGGACAGCCTCCTGCAGCGTGCTCCTTCCAAGCTCGTCAGCAATGCTACGCGCAGTGCTACCCCAGTCAGGGCCAATACTTGAGTCGTAATCATTAAAAAAAACTTTTATGCGAGTTTACGTTTCATTATTTATCACGCTTCTGTTTCTACCGAGCTTTTATTGATAAATTAAAAACCTTACTATTAAGTAGTATTTAGAAATAAATGCTATAATCACAATGCATTATCTTTGTAATCCCTTCCAGTGATATCGACCGCTCCGACACTTGGGACGAATTATTGGATGAGATTTTATAGCGTTCATACTATTAAATTTCAGCGTATAACTGTTAAGTTTAAACCGAATTGGAATAATTTAAAATAAAGCTAGATCTTTATTTACAATGCGCTCTCGTGAGCGTCGCTCTATTTATTTCTTCCGATTCGTTTTTAGCTGGAGAGTACAACGATAGATTTAAGCATCTTTCCCTCGTATAACTCATTTTGACCTTTTTAACAATGAAGCTATTTATTCCCAGTACGATCCTTTGAGCGATGTCGGATTTATATTTCGGCTTCGTTTTAACCCTCTACCACCTGACATGAGTAACCGGAGAAATATTGTCACAAGCCTACTTACCAATAAGGATACGTTCTAGTCAGCGCAAATGGCTTGCACTGATGGTTGCCGCCACGTACGACAAAATGTTCTCTGTATCGTACAAACGTCCTCAGGTTGCTACACTCAATAGTTGTGTATAATTTAAGTTAAAATTCATGTTCCCGGAGAGAGAAATACGGTGTTAGAGCGTTAAATTAACATAATATACTATTTTTCTCGAAAATTCGTACCAAAGTGTCGGAACGGTGTGCTAGACTGCTAGCGCAATGACCACTGAACGGTATAGGTGCCTGTACACAGGGATAGTACTAGCCGCTAGTTCATCCGGCGCTTGAACTGTCCACGCTACTGCTAGACTGCTAGCGCAATGACCACTGAACGGTATAGGTGCCTGTACACAGGGATAGTACTAGCCGCTAGTTCATCCGGCGCTTGAACTGTCCACGCTACTAGCCTCGTTTATAGGGGTTCAGCCGCTTCAGAGGCATGCGCCGGCAAGTGCCCGAGGCGCGGCCGAGAGACAACGATGTGTTGATATCTTGGCTGGAGATGGAGAAGTGGCTAGTAGCGCTGATGCAGCCATGGTGAGAGCATTTGTGCCGCTCCTGTGAAGTATCTTGGGTCACGTGAATCATGGCTTGTTTGAACGATAATGTTTCTAAGAGGAATCCAACAAAGTGGATTCCAGACGATATTCAATTATTCTTATACCTGGAAATACCACAGAAAATTTTTACCCGGCTACCGTACTACTAGTAGCCGGGTTAAAATTTTCTCCTCCGGATGTAGGAATGAATCTTCCAGGGTAGGTTTGAATTTACGGAAAAATCTTAAGTTAGTTTAAGCTGCCATGACATAACATAAGCTGTTAACACAAAAAGACGGTTGGCGAATCTGCTGAAATGTCGTATAGATTTCATTCATGTTTAATAAAATATTTTAACCCACCGATACATACTACGTTCTCTAATACATTTTTACATAGAGGATTTGAACATTCAGGTCATATAGGTATTATTGATGACGATTTCATTTATTTCAATTCTTAGTTAGCAATATTTTTGCCACAACTTTACACGAGTTTTAGCTTGAAATGCAATAAACAATGAAGTTTTCTGCAAACCGATGCACTGTCGCCATTTTGTTTGAAGTCTATCGACTTATGTTTTGTTGCAAAAATAAACACTTAAATTGTGCATTCATCAGACTAAGGATAGATAAATAGGTAGCTGAAAAAATTACGCGCTTTGAAAATCAAAATTTAAAAACCCTACCTATCACCCGTTACATATTTTTAACTTCTTGTTGATGTCAATCGGCGTGCAACATCATGTGCAGTCAACTGAAAGTTGTTAGATCGCTGTCCTTTGTAAAGTGAGATCGCGAGGATCAAAGTGCATAAAATTTGGTTGAATTTATGTAAAACGTGAAATGTTGTCCCTTGAAAACGTTTTTTTTGTTCTTAGATTATTTTTCTAGTTATAGAGGCTTTTGAGGGAAAGGGTATACAAGGTGTATAATAAATTATAATAATAGTGATCTGAAATGAATTTTGTGTTCCTGTGGCTGATCATCTATCATTTGCATCAAAGTCCACTGAAAAGAAAGGGGTGCACTGTGCTGTGTTTGATATGAAATTTGAAAAAATTAGATTGATGAGTACCTAATTGTTGAAATGTGATGGATAATTGTTAAAATGTGATGGGTAATTGTTAGAACTTAATAATATGATGGGTTATTGATAAAATGTGATAGGTAGGCCTAATTGTTGAAATTTAATGAGTAATTGTTAACTGGGTAGAAAATTTTCAGAAGTAGGTGTAGACTTATTGAATAGTACTGATGATATGCAAATCAAATTCAAATGATATGGAATATGCCAGATTGCAAGGCCTAAGTGGAAAACTTGGCAGAAGCCACCCATGAATTGGCAAAAATGCCTGTGAATCTGGCTAATTTTAGCTGTTCCTCATGCCTTTTCCTAATTTCTTCAGAAAATAATGAGATGAATGGCCTATTTTTACCTGAAAATCTTGCAAATCACCTATGAAATGCTCCAACCGACGGGGCTACTCGGGACAATCTCTATTTTGCGTCTGGCACCTTACGAATAGCATATGGAATTTTTTTGACAACGCCATTCGATAGCCCTGCCAATCAGCTATAAAATGAGACTAAACTTGTTTTTGAAATGTTTCATCGTAAGAAGTTATTAACTGATATTTAAAACTAATCGTTCAAATCTGTCCCGAGTAGCCCCGGTTGACGGTACTGTAAATATGTTTTTAGAGGTGCCTTGTATTACCCCGTGGTGTCCCTTACTACCCTGTTGTGTGGATATGGCCGCCATTTTTTTTGGATTGTGGTACAAAAATTCTGTCAATTAAGTTTTAAAGCCAACACCTGTCTGCAACTTTTTTTAAGGAAAATATTTTAATATGGCAATTTTTTTTGCTGCAGACCTTAACAGAAGTACATTTTAAAAAATATCACTTTTTAACATTTTTTCAGGAATTTTGTAGAGCTAGTAAATGTATGGTTTCTTAATTTCCTTTATGCTACATAGATAGGAAACAGTTGAAATTTATACTGCTGTCCCAAAATTTATGCTGCGGAGGACTGTCCCGATTTACCCCGCCCATCCCTTATTGCCCCGTTTGGCAGTAGGTATTTCATGACCTATAGTAAATTTTAGAGAATTGCAGGCAAAAAATATGTTTTATTCTGAATTTTTATCTGAGATGTTAGGAAAAAGCAAAGGAATGGCCTATCAAAATATGGCCTAAACCCTAGTAGGTACAACTAATAAGTGAAATTGCGTGTGAGCTGCATGGCCAAATTTGTGTCTCAGTCACAAGTGGCTTCAGCCCTTTTTAGCGCATTTTCTCATTTATGAAAAAAATGCACTATTGTGCTCGCCATGTCCGTCCGTCCGTCTGTCTGTCCGTCCGTTTGTCTGTGACCTCAAGTTTTCATCGATGAGAAAATGCGCGCTCTGTCACTCACTGCAGTGAGTACTGAGTTATATTTTTTCTATTCTGGGTTTATCCTGGCTACAGGGTATAATTTTAATGGTTGAGTGAACATTAATACCTATATCACATATTATAACTACTACCTATTATTATAAGCTACTATTATTTTTGGTTTGATCATGCATGTCACCTTTTGAAGTTCATTGAAATTTCACTATGAAAAATTAAATTTCAGATAAATGGCTCAAATAATGCATGAGCCTGCATGTGTACATGTGTATAAATAATGCTAAGTCTGTTAGAAATACTTCAGCTATATTTTTGAACAAAGTGTGTAGTGGACATGATGCATTTAACAACCAAGCTCATAAGATACCCAAAGCTCTTCTACTTGTGTGACTGTGGCACATAAGACTAAGGTCTTGTTTGGGCATTTAATTGTCTAGCTGTTTGAAAGTTGAGGTGTATAAAGATGGAAGGCTCTGAACAACATGGCAAGACTCCAGTACCAAGCTATGCAAGCATCCCGCATCACTACACAACCATGCCTCTGCACACTACGCAGGTAACTGTTGTTGTTTGCTGTTCAAGTTGAACTTGTACTAATATTTATTATTCTAAACAGGTATGCTTTCCTCAATTAGACTTCAATTGATTGAATGTTATGTTCAATATTTTGGTAAAGGTAACATTATTTTGGTCATTGCTAACTTCCAAAAACCTGCATGAAATTGAATTACTTAAATGTGTTTGAAGGGCTAATTTCTAGTTGAAGTCACTGCTTGTTTCTTGAGGCATTAAATGTTTTGGCTCAATAATAAGATTGTCTGTGTTGAGCAGGTGCTGCTCATGGACACTCCTACAGAGGAAGACGAATCTCCAACACTGGCCGAGCCAATGACGCTCGTGGGAGCTAAGCACCTCTCCCACGCTCCCATTCTTGCCTCCGCTCCCACGCCTCCTCTCACTCACCACACTGCCCCTCTCCTTCACCACACTCCTCCCCATCACTCATCACTTCATCATCACCAAATCCACATTTCACTCAATGGCTCTATGACTTCTGTGTTTCAGCCACATCATCTGCACCATCTGTCATCACCATCACCACCTGCTGGCCATCAGGGTTAGTGTGCTGGCCATCAGGGTTAGCAGGCTGGCCATCAGGATTAGTGAGCTGGCTATCAGGGTTAGTGGGCTGATACGGTGTGTTTTCAGACTGTGGGCTCAGATATAGGCTTAAATTGTCTCCTGTTGGGCATTGGTTGCTGCAGCACTTACAGGTGAAGATACCATAATTATTATCAGTGTGCTAATAATGATTGGATCCTGACTTCCATATGGTGCAAGGGAGTGAACAAGTGATGGTGAGATGCTTGGGTGGCACTCAAGATCTTTGGATTGGGTCTTTGTCGCAATAAATGTTTATCCCAAACATTTTACCTGTCATTTTCAACTTGTTAATCCTCATATGCTTCATTTTGATTTCATTAAATACAGGTGTTCTATTGACTGTAGAAATCAGATCATGTTGTTAGTCCTTCGTAGAGATTTCTTCTGGATCCCTCACTGATGTTTATTGTATGTTCCTCAGGACTCCCCAAGTTCTTCCCCTTGTGCCTTGCGCTTGATGACCATTGACGAGAACTGGGAAGCAGCTCCCTCCTCCCCACATGCCTCCAGCGACTCCAACCCCACCGTCCCCAGCAGGAGACCCAGCAAGAGGACCTCAACACGACAGCTCAGTGCCAAGTTTTCGGCTGCTGGTGCACGGCAGGCAGACTCGGGTGCTCAGAGTCATTGCTTACAACAGGAGGATGAGGACTCAGAACATGACTCTAATGCCTCCGTATCTCATGACTCTGATGAGGAAGATGAAGAGGATGACTCTGAGGAGTCGGACTCTGCAGAAAGTCTTGGTGATGAGCTTGACTCAAATGAAGCTGAGCAAACCAACAGGAGAGAGGAGTCCTTACCTGCTCGAACTGATAAAGGTGCTACTGTGTCTGCTAATGCCACAGTGTCTGCTGGTGCTGCAGTGTCTGCTGGTGCCACAGTGTCTGCTGATGCCACAGTGTCGGCTGCTGCGACAGTGTCTGCTGGTGCCACTGTGTCTTCTGGTGCTATGTCTGATGATGCCATATCTGCTGGTGCCACAGTGTCTCCTGGTGCCACTGTGTCTGCTGGTGCCACTGTGTCTGCTGTTGCCATATCTAAGGCAATGTCTACCAATTCATTGTCTGCTGCATGCGCTCTGGCTCACGAAAAGAATATCAAGTTATCCCCTGAATCTCACAGCCCCAGTAGACTGTCATCTACTTCTGCTGCAGGCGTCGTAATGCCTCGCATTTCTAGTGGGAAATTTTTGAATTCTTCATCACAAATGTGCGATAGTTCTCTTCCTCCCTCCTGTACCAAGCTAGCTAAGTGCCAAGTTGAGAGATTGCCTCCTGATCCGCGGTTGTGTAGCGAGTCTGATAATTTTTCTAGTTTATCGAATTCAAGTGGCAAACTTTTCCATCCAAATACTAGTCCCAAACATTCTTTTATTTCTAGTAATGTTGGAAATGACTTCTTGTCTGTGAATTCCAGAACTGCTATAATCCAGAACCACGTTGGCATTAGTACAAAATCAATTGTCAATGACGCAAATGTCCCAAACTCAAAGTTTGTTGCAAGAACCATCGAAAATTTTGTGATCACGCCGCTCCCCAACATGACTGCCGTTATTACTCCGCACCCTAACAACATTGAGGCTGTCACAAAGAATGCTGCGACACCCACCAATGTTACTTGTAGCTCTAGGAATCAGGGAGTAGGAGAGGCACATAACAGAGTGCTAGGGACTGTACCCGTTTCCCATTCGGTTGTTTCTGGTGGAAAAGCTGCTCCTTGTGCAACACAGACGTCGTCTTCAGAGGCTGTGGCCGCAACATTGCCCAGTCAAAAAGTTTTTGCACTCTCATCAAGAAAACTTAGTCAGTTCTCCACACATTCTAAGGAATTATTGTGTGACAAACAGCCAACTTTTCGTGATGGGGAAAGGAAAAATAATCAGTTTCTCATTACTTCCCAATTATCTCAAGATGCTGAAGCTTTCAACAAAGTTTCCAAAGAAAATAGAAACAATTTGAAAAACAATGCTAAGAAGCACCACTCTTCCAAAGTTTCAAGTACTGCTAAGAAAGCTGTTGAATCACAGAGATCTAAATTGAAAAGTTGGGACCAGAAGAAAAGTGGGGCTGAAAGGCTTGTAGATGCAGCGTCTTCAAAGAGCGAAGTAACCCTCAACCGTCTCTTCGATCAGCCTACAGTAACAACGACAGGTTCAGTAAAGTCAATGAGTAGCAAACCAAATCATATTCTTGATATGACCAGCAGTAAAGAGAAGAAATATCTTAACCAGAATTGTGGAAGAGACACAATAACACAACTGTCTGGAAGCAAACTATCATCGAAGAAGAAGCCATCTAAATCAGCTTCCGATTTAATCATTAAAAGTAGAAATATGGTCGCAACATCCACCCAACTCACGGCCTCAACCTGCAATAATACGTATGTGTCGGCAAGCCAAATGTTAAAAGCGAAACAGTCTTCGGAGGTAATTAAATCATCATTATCAACTTATTCTGCAGTGAGTTCTGCACCGTTGGTCTCTGCATCCAGATCTGAAGCATCGGAGTCAAGTCACAAGGGTTCAATGTGTAGTAAAAAGTCTCTTGCAGCCAGCCATCATTCTTCTGTTTCAGACAGGAAAACTACAACGATCATTGAATCGTATACCAAAATCCATCAATCTGTAAAATCCACTCATCAGGCGTCTAAATCTAGCCATCAATCAACAAAATATACCCATCAATCATCAAAATCCAGCCATAAATCATCTAAATCAAGCCATCAGTCCTCAAAGTTAAGCCTTCAATCATCAAATCATAGCTATCAATCTTCAAAATCTAGCCACCAAGCATCGAATTATAGCAATCAATCATCAAAACCTAACCATCAATCATCAAAACCTAGCAATCAATCATCAAAACCTAACCATCAATCATCAAAACCTAGCCATCAATCATCAAAATCTGGTCTCCAATCCTCTACGTCAAACCATCTATCTTCAAAATCAAGCAACAAATCTATATCCTGCAACCAGCAACCCTCAGCAAAGCAGCACCAATCCTCTTCATCAACAAAGCAATCTTTGGATGCTGACTGTCCACCTTCTTTGAACAACCCTTCCTCTAATGCACATCCACGACCCAAAGCGGAAGGTCCTGCCAAGAAGACGACTTCTCCTCAGGCCGCCACCAGACTAACAGTTGCACCTGGTAACACTTCATCGTCTGCTTCCTTTTCTGAGGTGAGGTCATGAGTTCTCATTCTTCATTATTTTTTTTTAAATGGAAAATGATACGAGAATTTTTTAACATTTCTGATGGGAGTGAATCTTTTGTTCAGTTTTATTAAAGTGTTATAATTCGTGCGCAATCAGTCGCTTATCTTGAATAATTGTCTTGCATTAATAAAATGCACTTGTTTTCTTAGAAAGTATTAACTGCTTATTCATTGTAATTCCGAATTCAGTGTTTAGATTATTACAGTATAAGGAATGGTTGCACTCGTTACAATCAAATTTGTAAATAGTTATTACATCTGTTTCTTGCAGGCGTCCGCATCTCGCAGCAGCGTGAGCTCGACAGAAGGCAGCTGTAGCAGCAGTAACTCTGGCAACAGCAGCAGCAGTAGCAGCAATAACAACTCGAGCAGCAGTAGCAGCAGCGCAGGTAGCAGTAGCAACAGCAGTAGCAGCAGCAGCAGTGGCAGCAGTGAGGAAGAAGATACAAGTGATGAAGAAAGCAGTTCAAGAAGCTCTTCATGTTCCTCAGGGTCTGAGGATGAGGCTAAGAGGACTGGGGAACACCGTCCCATCTCTCGTCTTCCCCGCAACAAACCTCTCCCTCGTCACAAGCCAGAGCTTGTAGCTCCCCCTCGTGCTAGTGATGAGGAAGATGAGGAGGACTTCCCTCCCCCAAAACTGTCACCTGCCGTCTCCCCATCTAAAATTGGCCCGTCTAGTCCCTTTAAACGGTCTATTTCTTCGCCTCAAAAGTCCCCTGTCAAATCCTGTATCAAGCCTGTCTCGGCTTCCGTCAAGCACCGAACCAAAGAGCCTAGCCAGGAGGCCGCTTCGTTGCCTCCTAGCAAAGAGGCAACAAATTCCATAAAAACAAAGGCGGGAAAATGTAGAACCCTAGCCTCTCATGAGCTCAGACCCAACTTGGAGCAAGAGTTTGAGAAACTCCTTACGGGAGTCAAACCAGCGACCCAGGCACCTAAGACCTCGTCAGGCAGCCCTAGCGACGTCCTCGTCGACCCTGACACTGATCTCCCGCTAATCATTGGCAGAGGAAGGAGAAAATTCAAGCCGCTTCTTCCTTACAAAGTCAACGTCACTACTGATCAGGATATTGCTGGTAAAGAAGCATCTTCAAACATATCTCACAGCCGCAATTCCAGCCCCGACAAAACCAAATATTTTCAAAGCAAAGGTGGTGGCACCAATCTTGAAGTGGTTGCCAATGGCCAGGGAAGTGATGCCAGAAATACATTAAATGCCAGTTCAAGATGTGGCGACAAGACCAAGAACGCGTATAAAATTGGTGACAGTGTTCCGTTCAACAAGAGCGTTATACCCGAAAATTGCAAGCTTGACACCAGCAACATTCCTGCTTCACTTCTGGTTGGGGGAGTGAGACCAACCATTGCAGACTTGGTCAAGGTGCGGGAACGAAGGAAATCTTTCGAGCGCGACACATCAAGCGGCAGTGAATGGGAGAAAAGAAGACTTAACCTATGGGCAAAAATCATCGTCAGGATCGTAAATAACCTAGACTCTGAGCAAACCCAGACTTTTGCTCTGTCTGCTGACGCCTTGTCGCAGGTTAGAATTCAGCTTATAGTCTTGTTGTTTACTAGTGAATATTGAGTTGAAGGGCCGGGGTTAAATCAATATTTAAGTACCATTAATGGTAATTGATATCAACAACAACCTATGGGCAAAAATCATCGTCAGGATCGTAAATAAGATAGGTAGACTCTGAGCAAACCCAGACTTTTGCCCTGTCCGCAGACGCCTTGTCGCAGGTTAGAGTGCAGCCCATACTTTCAAAAAAAGTGAAGAGATCGTAAGTTCATTGGCCAATCATTGACGGCCTTTCAAGCTAAATCCACCAATCATAGACAAGAAAATAGAGCGTAAGTATTTACGTTCACTTAGCGAGTTTTGAAAGTATGGCCCCAGCTAATTGGTCTAGTTGTTTAATAGTGAATATTGAGTTGAAGGGCGGGGGTGAAATAAATATTTACCATTAATGGTAGTTGATGTTAAAAATAGCCATTGTTAAGCATCAATTATTAGCTCAAGTGACTTGCTTCTACACTAAATAATTACGGGGGATTATAATTTCTATTATTTTAATAATAAATAAAATCACTAAAGATTGATTAATTCATCAAAGCTAATCCTATGCCTGGAATATCATATTGTTCACAATCGTTACTTGCAATGTTTTTCTTACTACACAACGTAATGTTACCTTTAATTTTTATAATTATCGATAACTGTCTTTTGCCTGTTTTGTGTTTTGTCGATGCAACAATTGTTTTTCAATACAACTATTGTGTTTTTTTAATACAAAAATTGTGTTTTTTTAATACAACAATTGTGTTTTTCAATACAACAATTGTGTTTTTTTTTCAATACAACAATTGTGTTTTTAATACAACAATTGTGTTTTTTTCAATACAAAAAATTGTGTTTTTCAATACAACAATTGTGTTTTCAAGAAAACAATTGTTTTTTCAATACAACAATTGTGTTTTTCAATACAACAACTGTGTTTTTATAAAATAACAATTACCTGTAATTCGAATTTCAGGGTCGCATCGGGTCCAAAATCTCGGCTCTGAAGATGTCAAAGTTTGGCTCGAGTGGGCTGCGGGACGTGGGCAGCGCTGCACACTTGCCCACCCGCTCCGACCTCCCCCACGCAGCCCCAACCCTCTCCCCCAACCATATTCCCCACAGGGGGAGTGAGCCCCTAGCCTCGGGGTCACTCCCCGAGGACGCCTTAGTGAGCAAAGGAACTGAGGAAGCTGGCAGCGGCAGCAACAAGAGCCGCCGTTGCGACAAATTTGGCAGCTGCAGCAACGACAGTAACAAGTCTAGTAGAAGTAGCAACGACGGTAACAAGTGTAGTAGAAGTAGCAACGACGGTAACAAGTGTAGCAGCTGCAGCAAATGTAACAATTCCAACAACTGCGGTAGCGGCTGTAACCAGGCCAAGAGCAATGGTTATGCTTGCTGTGGCAGACAACTAGGCAAGTGTAGCAGCAGCAGTAGCTGTAGCAGGAGTATAGCCAAGTGTAGCAGCTGTAGCTGTGCTGCACGGAAACCAGCAACTCAGTGTCAGTGGCCTGGCAAGGTGAAGACGGCCGCTGAGCGCAAGACCTACGCTGACCTACCAGCTGCGACAGCGACTCATGCCGCTCATAAGGTGAGGCTCTATTACCAGTCACTAAGTCTTTAGATTAAACTTGTAAGGTCTTCTAGTTAGATCTCATTAGGATTGATCAGTAGACCTTATTAAGGCTTCTCATTAAACCTTGCTCCTTATTATACCTCCTTATTTACGGCTCCTCTTTAGACATTTGACGCTGGGGTTGCAATCATTTACCATACCAGAGCAAAGTTACCTTCTGATTCGTAAGGCAGGCGCTGCGAAATTCCTATATACAGCCTCCCTGATAGCATCGTTGACGCTCCGAGTATGAACGCCTTCAAGAACAGACTAGACGAAGCTATGCAGGAGCATATGTTCAGTCTTAAAATGCCTAGCAAATTACGGATTCGGGACCACACGGCGAACGTGTGTGTCTAGCCTACACGGAGAACGTGGGTGTCGGGAGCACACGGGGAACGTGCGTATCGGGACCATACGGGATCGTGTGTGTCTAGACCACACGGAGAACGCGGGTGTCGGGACCACACGGAGAACGCGGGTGTCGGGACCACACGGAGAACGTGGGTGTCGGGACCACACGGCGAACGTGTGTGTCGGGACCACACGGGGAACGTGCGTATCGGGATCCACACGGGATCGTGTGTGTCTAGACCACACGGAGAACGTGTGTCGGGACCACACGGAGAACGTGTGTCGGGACCACACGGAGAACGTGTGTTGGGACCACTCGGGAAACGTGCGTGTCGAGACCACACGGGGAACGTGCGTATCGGGACCACACGGGATCGTGTGTGTCTAGACCACACGGAGAACATGTGTGTCGGGACCACATGGGGAACGTGTGTGTCGGGACCACTCGGGAAACGTGGGTGTCGAGATCACACGGGGAACGTGGGTGTCGGGACCACACGGGGAACGTGCGTATCGGGACCACACGGGATCGTGTGTGTCTAGACCACACGGAGAACACGTGTGTCGGGACCACAAGCGAAACGTGTGTTTCGGTATCACTCATGGAACGCTAGACAAAGTATCTTGTGTGACGGGACCACACGCGCATCGTGTGGCCCGCAGCGTGTCCTGTCCACCCGTGCGTCGGGGTCGTTAGCTGCGGTGGCTGCGGTTGCGCGCTGTAATGCATACCGCGGCTACGTGCTCGTTAAATCCATTAACATATTTCCTTTGCCTTGAATGCCATTAACGAAGGATTAAGTGGTGATTTCGTGGTCTCACTACAAACTTGCTGATCGCTATTGTCTTGGGTGCTATGAAATTAACATTGATAATTTTTATTAAGCTGTCTTGTCCAGAATAGCCACCTCTTGAATGCGTTTGTAGAAAAGGAAAGGTCTGTAATGGAAGTATAACTGTGTGTAAACCTCCGTACAGTGAAGTATATCATGTGAAAAGACGTTCTTATTGGTAAATGTTGCTCTCAAGTAACTGGTGTTTTGAGATTACAAGGAGAAAGTACATACTTTAAAATTACTTCACGTTAACTTGGTTGAGTTATATTCAGCATTTTTTGTTTTGCGGCAATTCGTAGCTCAGCCCATCGTCTACCATAAATTGTGCTTTTG